CGTGCGTACCCAAGATCCTGAGAGGAGAATGGAGGAGAAGGGATTGCGGCGTGACCATCCCCCCTGGGGGGTGATTTCTCGCTTTCGCTTTCTGTCTCTATGTTTCTCTCTGTCTGTCTGGCGAGCGCACGCGCCCTATAGCGAAAACCTCTCCAAAAAAAAAAAAAATGTGCTCTTTTGACCTTAAAATTTTTTATAAAAGGCCATTTAAGATTTTGTAGACATATTCTTTAAATTACTCAAACTCATTCCATTTTGAAGACTGAAAATAAGTGTTAAATTCGGTGCACTTACTTGTAAAAGTCAAAAACTAAACCAAAACGTTCCTAAAGACATAGCTATTTTTAGAATACTTTAGCATGGTTCTAAGACTACTGGCCCAGGTGGTCACAGCTGCAGAGCTGAGGCAGTGGGGCAGGAGCTGACAGTCAGATTTTGGTATTCAGGAGTATGGACTCTAGAGCAAGATGCCTGGGTTCAAATCCTGACTCAGCCACTTTTTATCAGTGTGAGGAGTCTTCAGAACGTTTGTGGAAAATGCATATCATGATAAAATTATGTGAATTAGGTTGTCGGAAGAGTCATGATGCATTTTTTCTATGAACTTTTTTCTATGACTTTTCTGACAACCCAACAGATTTCAAATATATTTTGCACTAAAATAAATTTTTCCTTTATTCTATTTTTATTAGAATTTTAATTTTATTCTATTTTTCCTCAAGCTTTTTGAAGTCCCTCATTTAATGCTGAGTAAGCGATGTGACTCCTTCTTGCCTTGGTTTCCGCATCTGAAAACTAGAGAGAGTGCTAATATTACCTGCCTTGAGGGGTGATTGTGGGAGTTAATGTATTAATATGTGAAGGCCTTAGAAAGCGGGGGCAAACACGACAAGCACCCCCTGAGTTGTGAATTACACAGTATCCTCAGTACTGAGTGTCAATTATCAGTAGCAGCAGACGTTGCGCTGTACACAGGCCATGTGTGCTGTCCAGCTGAGAAGCCAGGTGCAGCTCCTGGCGGCTCTAAAGCAGAGAAGGAGACTCACTGGGTCTACCTAGAAATGACCAGACAGGGGCTGCCCAGTTCAAAGACTGTGGGAGGTTGGGGACCCCCTGCGTCATCACTCATCCCTTCTCCACAGCAGCCCAGGAGGATTGAAGCAGAGGAAGAGCTGGGGTTAATGAGCCTTCCAGCTGTGGAGACCTGCCTTAATGTGGGCGCAGCCTGTCCAAACAGCCTGCCGCTACAGGACGCCAGCCCGGCTGAGGGCCCCTCATCTCCCAAGGACCTTCCTGAGCCTCGGGTGTCCACAGAGCACACCAATAACAGGATTGGTGAGTAGGCCTGTCGTGGGGCTTCAGTGTGGCCAGGACCAAGGGGACAGAGGGGAGGCAGGTGCTGGGTCCTGGCCAGGAACCAGAGACCCTGTTGCTCAAGGGGCCAGCAAGGAAGAGGCATGGATTCCCTCACACATGTCTTCTGTCTCCTGTTATCTTTCCTTTCCATTCCTTTCCTTTTCTTTCCCTTCCCCTCTCCTCCTCTCCTCTCCTCTCCTCTCCTCTCCTCTCCTCATCTTTTTCTAGGAAAAAGAGAGAGGGGAGGCTAAGTGGTTTTTGTTTTGTTTTTATTTATTTTTATGATTATTTTTTCTTTTTTTGGAGAGGTTTTTGCCAAAGGGTGCGTGCACTCGCCAGACAGAGAGAGAGACAGAGAGACAGAAAGCAAGAAATCACCCCCCCCAGGGGGATGGTCACGCCGCAATCCCTTCTCCTCCATTCTCCTCTCGGGATCTTGGGCACGCATGCATACGCGCCTGGCATGAGTTTAAGCCACCAGGTCCGGGATTCGAACCACGGTCGACTACATGGGAGTCCAGCGACATAGCCATTACGCTAACTGCTGGTCCCATTGTTTTGTTTTTAATACTTAGATGGTGCATGCTCTCACCAGAGAGAGAACCCCCTACTGGGATATGGTCACACTGCAATCCCTCATCCTCCTTTTTTCCGTCCCGCCAGGACTTGGGGCGTGCACACACATCCAGCATGTTTTTCAGGCTGCCAGGGCCAGGACTGGAGCTGTGGTCGGCCGTGTGGGATCTGGTTCTCTGTGCACAGCACGTAACCGCCGTGCTGGGGAGCTGACCCCAGACTTCATCTTGTCATCTCTAATTGTCACACCACCTCTCTGAGGATAGTGTCTTTCTCGCCTTTTACTACTAAAGTGGCACCCTGGGGGTAGAGGCCAGGCCCACTGGACTCTGGAGCTCTTGGCTTGTCCACACCACCATCCAGCCTCTGCAGAACCCGCCCTGACCATGCTGGGCTGCCCTGGTGCCCAGCTCTGCCTATTAAAGCTAGCTTCTGGCTTGAACTAACCTTCCGCTTTGGCTTCCCCGGGTCTCCCTGCCTCCTCTGCTGCTTCTCTCCCCCCCGTACAACCAGAGCATGCCCCCCACGTACCTGTCCATGTTATACCCCTGTTTGAGACTCTCCAGCGCTTCCTCGTTACCTTCAGCATGAATTCCAGGACTCTCATTCCTGTACTCAAGGCTGGTCACTAGCTGGCTCCTCCCCGCCAGGCTTGCCTACCTCCTAACCCCAGGGGCCTTCATCTCCCACTTAAGGGCAGTTTCCTGAATTTGTAGATCCTTCTTTCACTTATAACAAAACATTTGTTTATTTATTTTTGCTACAGGGCATGTGCGCTTATGGGTAGAGAAAGCACTTCCTAGGGGGATGACCACGCTGCAATCTCTTTTCCTCCTCCTCTGGTGATTTTGGGCATGCAGCTTTCTAAACCTCCAGGTCCAGGACTCAAACTGTACAGTTGGCCATAGGGGAGCCAGCCCCCCTGAACCTCCATGGCACCTGGTTGGCCCCCCTGTCACTTTAAGCTAACTCCTTGAATCTAGCTGGTTATGGATGTGCCGGGGGACCCAGCTTATCTGCCTCTGCCTCTAGGAAGCCTTCCCTCGCCTCTCCGCTCTCCTGTCTCTCTGCTCTCCTGTCTCTCCGCTCTCCCGTCTCATCCAGAAGTCCCTCTGTGATGCTTCCTGAGCCCCCCAGGCCTCAGGAAGTGTCCTCAGCACCCTGCAGCATGTTTACAGCCTCCTCCCACCTCTATCTGACTGTGAGCTCTGGGGGCCCCCTTGTCTGTCTTTTCTGGAAGGGCAGGTGTCATTTAGATAATACTGAGGAGGCATTTATAATTGTCCTACTCATTTCTGTGGCAGGCACTGGCGATTAGAGCTCTCTGGGCAGTCTTGAAAACGGAAACATTTGCAACTATAGCTTTCAGCAAGTTTTATTAGAAAATAATGCCTTTGCAGAAATACAGCAAAGGCTTCTCTTTTGAATTTCCTGGGAAGTCCTAATTGGAACATTGAGTCCATGCTGGGTGCAGTGCCTGGAACTCCAGAGTGGGGCTCAGGGAGTGTTTGAGGGGGAGGATGGAGGGAGCTCCTGGGACCACTGGGGTATGTCAGCCTTCCTGGAGGCCCCGCTAAGCCTGGCTGGGCCTTAGAGCTTCTTGGATGCCCAGAACACGGGTGACCCTCTTGTCCTCCTGAGACCACCCCAGAGAAGCACCCCTACCCCATGGAAGAGAAACCAAACTTGGGCCCGAGAATCATCCCAGTCCCCCAGAGATCAGGGAGGGGGCATCTCCTGTCTCCCACCTTCACCGCCCACCTGACCAAGACAACTTTCTTGAATTATTGAGCCCTGGGTGGGGCAGGACGTCTGGGTCGCCCCAAAGGAGAGCTGGGAGTGAGCAGCCCGGTGACAGGGACAGAGCCAGAGGGACTAGAACCTGTGGAGTTTGAGGGGTGACAGCCTGGCGCTCAGTGATAGCTTGGCTGCCCCAGTGCCACCCCCACTGCTCTTAGACCCTGCCCCACGTCTCTCATCTCACTTGTCCTGTCCCCTCCTCTGGGACTTCTCTAACCTCCGGGTCTCCTTTCTCTCACCCTCCCTGGCCTCATCTTTTAATTCGATTGTTAATTGACACACGTATTATTTTGATGTGTTTCTGGGATTCAGTGATTTCCAGAATGTGTGTGTAGTAATGAGCAAATCAGAGCAATGGGCATCTCTGTCATCACAGACATTTGTCATGTCCTCGTGCGGGGACATTCCAAGTCCTCGCTCTTAGCTATTTTGCCACATGCGGTGACCTACTGTTGACTGTGGCCACTCTCCTGTGCTGGAGAAGGCTAGAACTTGTCCCTTTCACCTGACCGTTACCTACATCTCCCTTCCCCCCTCCCCCCCGTCCCACCCCCAGTCACTGTTCTGCTCTCCGCTCTGCAGGGTCAGCGTGTTCAGTGTCCACACGGGAATGAGGACACGCTATTTGTCTCTTTCTGTGCTGGTTTATCTCACTGAGTACAATGTCCTCCTGGCTCGTCCATGTAGTTGGGGTCCCCAGGGCGGGGTGGGGGTGGTCGGGGTGCAGGCCTTGGTGGAAGGTATAGGCTGGGGTCTGAGGTGCTGCTCTCAGCTTTGGGGTCAAGTGTGTGCTCAGCCTGCTGCTTGTCCCCCACGCTTGGCCCTCCCTCTAGTGTTAAAACCCATGTAGAAAAGTCGATGTTATGCAGTGGGGGTGGGGGAGCAGGAGCCCTTGGGAATCTTTTGGGGGTTCCTGAATCAGAGGGATGTATCCAGGTTACCCAGAGAGGCAGAGGTCCTTGAGCTGAGGCCTCAGTAGCTGGGCAGGCTGGTCCTGGCCTTCTCTACTTCCTAGCTCCTGAGGCAACTTAACTCCCCTGGGCTTCTGTGTCCTCCTCTCTAAAAGGCCACATTGGGTCCCCCCTCCAACTGTGGTGAGGACCACAGGGGACGATACCTTACATGGGCTGGGCTCAGCCCTCTGTCCTGGTGACATTCACCCAGCACCTATACGTGCTAGCAGACACGGCGTGGAAGCCACAGGTGGGAGATTGGTTGTGAGTAACAGACACCAAACTCCAGGGCCCGAGCAGGGCTGGTGGAGTCCTTGTTTCTTCTACTCAGGACCAAGGTTCCTGTAGGAAGTGACCAGGGGCTACGTTTGCCCAGACTGGGGAGGCTCCTGGGACATGAGAGGACTGCAGTACTGAAACCAGGAGTGGCCGGGACAAACGGGGGCGAGCTGGTCGCCTCGAGTTTCCACTTTAGGCACATAGGTGGGAGCAAAGGGGCAGCCAGGTGGAGTGGGAGTTTCTTCAGGGATTCTCTAAACTATCAAGAGACCTTGGGCAGGTTGCCAAACTTCAATGGGCTTCTGGTTCTTTTAGTTTTTTAAATTTTTATAATTTTTGCCAGAGGGTGCATGTGCCCTGAGAGAGGAGAGAAAGCACCCTCCATGAGGCGTGGTCATCTCACAATCCATTTTCTTCCATTTTTCCATCCTGTGAGGGTTTGGGGCATGCCGGCAGACTCCTGGTGTATGTTCTAAGCTCCTGGGGCAGGAACTCGAACCTCGAACCAGTGCACCCACGAGCTGTGCTACAATCTAGCCCCACTCTTCTCTTTTCTTTTCTTTCCTCTTCTTTTCTTTCCTGTTCTTTTTCTTTCTCTTTTCCTTTCCTTTCCTTTCTTTTTTTCTTTTCTTTTCTTTCTGTTCTTTTCTTAATAGCTAGAGGGCATGTGTGCTTACTAGCAGGGACAGAGAGAGAAACAATGCATCCTTGGTGGAGCATGGTTGGGCCACAATTCCTTCTCCATATGTCCATCCTGTCATGCTTCTGGGCATGCACACACATGTGTCCAGTGTGTTTTTTAAGTTGCCAGGGTCAGGATTCGAACCATATGGTCAGCCATGTGGGGTCTGGCTCCCTTCACCACTGGGGCCCAGGGCTGTCTCCTTCGGAGTCTTATCTGGAAGATGGGGATGATGATGGAACGCTGCCTCGTGGGCGTGAGAGGATCCCGAGCTAAACGCTGGAAGGTGCCTGGCACATGCTCAGCCCTATTCGAGCTCACCTGCGTTCTTGTTCTCGGTGTGCCTTGCCTGTTATCACTGTTTCTGCCACAGTTACTTTCTTTTTTCAAAACATGTTGTCAGCAGGTGCATGCTCTCACCTAACAGAAACAGAAAGAGAGGGAGAGGGAAAACGAGAAAGCATCCCTCATGGGGCATGGTCATGCCACAATCCCTCTCCTCCGTCTCTCCCTCCTCTCGGGATTTTGGGCACGCACATACACCCAGCGTGTTTATCAAGCTACTTGGTCCGGGACTCGACTGTGCAGTCGGCCGTGTGGGATCCGTAATCACCAGGCTCTAGCCGGCCCTCCGTGGCTTAATTTCTCTCCCAACCATGTTCTCTCCTTCCCTACCCACCCTGAAGAGGTGCCCAGGGAATCATGAGTATCCCCTCAAGTTTCAGGTGAGCCAGACTCCTCCATGTGCAGTCCCTCGCTGTTACATTTCCTCGAGCCTCAGGACACTGTACGGCTGGCAGGGCTCCCTGTGCATCAGGGAGGCGTGTCATCTGCCTGAAGCCACAGGAGGACTGGCAGAACTAGGACGTGGTCCTTCTCCACCTCTTCGCTGCATCCTGGCTCTGGTCTCCCGTCTCACCGCTCCTTTTGCCTTGCAGAGAAAATCTACATCATGAAGGCTGATACAGTGATTGTGGGAACCGTGAAGACTGAGGTGCCCGAGGGCCGGGGCCTGGTGGGGCCAGCAGAGCCCGAGTTTGACGAGGAGCTGGAGGTGGACCATGTCCCCCACTACCCGGAACAAGAGACAGAACCGCCTGTGAGCAGCTGTGGGGACGTCATGTTCTCAGTGGAGGAGGAAGGGAAGGAGGACCCTGGGAAGTAAGCCTGTCTAGGCTGGGCTAGGCCTACAGCTGGGTGCCCTCTGAGGCCAGGATGACACTGGTGGCATCGAGGTGTGGGGTGAGGCCCATCTTATCTGAACCACCTAGTGAGGTTCCATTGACCAGCTAGTCAGTGCAAGATGGCTTCTGGTGGTCTCTGCGAGCATCCCACAGTAGCTGCTCCCTGACCCAGACCCTAGGGGACTGAGGCGCGTATTGCAGAGACGCTGCAAAGAGACTGGGTCCAAGCGGTGATGTTCACTGGGGTGAGGGCCAGATGGCAGGTGCCGGCCACCCTCCCTCCTGCTGCTGCCATGAACGGAGCTGGCCCCAGAGCTTTGGCCACCAGACACTCACTGCAGGGCCAGGGCCCGTGAGGGAGAGGCCGCTGTGCCCCTGCACCTCCTCCTCTCTCCCTGGTCCTCAGAGGTGAGGCCCCTTGGCCTTGCTGGCATACCCCGGTTACTATCAGTGTTGTCCCCAATGGGCACAGAGCCAGTGCCTGTGGTTGTTTCTCCTGAGTCAAAAGAGAAGTCTAGGGACGGGGTGTGGTTACTTGGTACCATCTTGGTTGTAGCCATTGCACTGCACCCTGCACCCAGGTGAGGGCCAGCCTGGTCCTCAGCCCTGCTTGGGCTGAGTGGGACTTTCCTGGTGCTGCTCACCTTCCCTGCTCTGTAGCTCCCACAGTGGGCTCAGGGCCCAGGACCAATCCACTCATCTTGATAGTCCCCATCAGTCCTTGCAACTGGAGACATCTGGGGCCCAGATATCTACAGGCCTTCAGCAGCATAGCACCCAGACCCTGGCTGGAGACCCTCCCACCCAGCTACTGCCACAAGAAGGGCCTGGTTTGCTTTCCCAGAGACTTCTTCCTGCACAGAGATGAGGAAGTGTGCCCCATGGGGGCTCCTGCACTGCTGCTGGGCACCACCCGCTCTGTCCTGGGAAATGCAGAAGCAGCTTCCTTAGATCTGCCATGCTTGCAAATCCACTGGCACCAGCTGGCTCCTGTCACTCTGCACCCTCCAGGGTGGTGGCGGTTGAGAAGCGCCATGTTTGGCCCAGACATCCTGCCTGACTCTGGGCCGTGGAGAAAGGCTGAGTGTGTGGTGGTTCGATCTGGACTTCAGGAGTTTTGCATTTCACACTTAGGAGTGGAGCTGCCCTGACACCCTGGTCTTCAGCCTCACCTAGGCCAGCATGCAGCCAGTGACTAATACGCCACAGTAGCTCTGAGCTGTGGGCAGCTTGGAGACTCCAGGACTTACCCGCTGGAGGCCGGACCTGGGAAGCTGCTGTTAACTCACGAGGCTGCTCGCTCTCTGGAGGAAGTTGGGGCGGGCTTAGGAGTCACAGGGTAGTTTCTGAAACTTCTCAGATGTTTTGAGGGAGGTTGGAAAGTCTGGGACATTGTAAGAGGTACTTATACCAGAATCTGGACACTGGCCAGAAGCATAAGAGAGGTGGATGATATTCGGCAGCATAGCACCCAGACCCTGGCTGGAGACCCTCCCACCCAGCTACTGCCACAAGAAGGGCCTGGTTTGCTTTCCCAGAGACTTCTTCCTGCACAGAGATGAGGAAGTGTGCCCCATGGGGGCTCCTGCACTGCTGCTGGGCACCACCCGCTCTGTCCTGGGAAATGCAGAAGCAGCTTCCTTAGATCTGCCATGCTTGCAAATCCACTGGCACCAGCTGGCTCCTGTCACTCTGCACCCTCCAGGGTGGTGGCGGTTGAGAAGCGCCATGTTTGGCCCAGACATCCTGCTTGACTCTGGGCCGTGGAGAAAGGCTGAGTGTGTGGTGGTTCGATCTGGACTTCAGGAGTTTTGCATTTCACACTTAGGAGTGGAGCTGCCCTGACACCCTGGTCTTCAGCCTCACCTAGGCCAGCATGCAGCCAGTGACTAATACGCCACAGTAGCTCTGAGCTGTGGGCAGCTTGGAGACTCCAGGACTTACCCGCTGGAGGCCGGACCTGGGAAGCTGCTGTTAACTCACGAGGCTGCTCGCTCTCTGGAGGAAGTTGGGGCGGGCTTAGGAGTCACAGGGTAGTTTCTGAAACTTCTCAGATGTTTTGAGGGAGGTTGGAAAGTCTGGGACATTGTAAGAGGTACTTATACCAGAATCTGGACACTGGCCAGAAGCCTAAGAGAGGTGGATGATATTCGTCCAGACCCCTTGTGCAAGGATGCGGCTCACGCCCGCACCCCCCCCCCCCCACCAGAGCTGCAGCTGTATGAAGCCTGTGGATGCCATACACCTGCTGAGCAGAGCGCTCGGCTCTGGCAGCCCTGACTTGAGGATACTGACATGTGGTTAATGACGCACTGCGCCCTCTCATCTGTGGCCCTTCACACTTTTGGCCCCTTAAAAATCCACTGGGTCCCTTACAGATGAAGAACTGTCAGGCTGGGAAGGACCACTGCAGCTGAGCAGGAAGGGTTCCTTCTGCAGCGCCTGCACCCCCAGACACCTCTGCAGCTGGCCTCTGACTGATCAAGCACTTCCGCGGATAGGAGCCACTCCCTGCTGGGAATTCTTCCTCCAGGCCATTGTTCCCTGTCCAAGGATACCCAGAATGGAGCTACCCTTGGCATCGGCTCCTTTGGGTATTTGCCAAAATGGATTCCAGGCCGTGTGTTGCCTTCTTCCCTCTGCCTGGGCTGAGCAGCCCCACACCTTTGGAAAAGGGCATCTCCAACGTTGGTGTGACTGTCTGAACCTTGGGAGGCCGAGAGAGGACTGAGAGTGTGTGAGCTCTGGGCCTCTGGGCCTGAACTGGGGGGAGTCCGGCCTGCCTCCCCGCTACCTCAGATGGCCAGCCTGGGCCCCTCTGATTGGCCCCCATGTTGGGTGGAGAAGACAAAGGGCCTTGGACAGGCCCTGCCCTCCCTCTCCAATTTCCACACACCCTTCTCCATGAACAGTTGGGGTTGGAGATTCCTGTGGAAGCTATTCCCTTCAAAGAAAAGCCATTGTTGCCCCAGGCAGTTCTGGAGCCTGTAAGCTCTTACACGGTTCATAGACTCTGCTGGTGCCAGTCCTGCAAGTGGAACAAGAGGACTGGACACCAGAGCAACTCTGCCTTCATCTCAAACCCCCCCACCCCCCCTACCCCCGCCCAACAGTGAGGTCCTAAAGACCCAGGGCTGGGGCTTGGTCATCTCTGTCCCCTCTTCCCAGGGACTAATTTGTTGAGCTGAGTAGAAATGAAAATCTGTGCAGGGTGTGATGTGAGGTGGCTCTTTGGTTATAGTTCCTTGGGTGGCTCCTCTCCTCTAACCTCTTCCTTGACCCTTTAACAGCAGGGGGTTTGGGGAGTGTGGAGTGGAGGGGCCAGGCAGGATGTATAGGGGACCAGGTTCACAGGAAGGGCCCAAGAGAAAAGCTTAAATGTGGGAATACAGCTCAATAGGAAGCCAAGGTGGGAATGTTAAGCTTCAAGGGTGACTTCGGGACCTAAGAAGAAGCTGGTTAATCATGCCTTCAGCCCCTGCACCCCCCAGGTTCCTTCCCCTGAGCCAGCACCCCATGCTGGGCACACAGCCTGGGACCCTTGCCCAGGGTAACCCAGGGGAGCAGGCTGCCAATGGTGGGGCAGTGAGTGAGAGGCCTGCCCGTCACTCTCCACAGCCCAGACAACAGCTGTGTGCAGATGGGGATGGTACTCAGGGGTAAGGCCCGGGTTCGAATCCCAGCACTGCCATTGACCAGCTGAGCGGTCTTGATAATGTTCCTTCATCTCGCTAAGGCTCTGTTTCCTTATCTGTGGAATGAGGGTATTTTATCTACCTGATGGGACTGTGGGGCTTCCCTGAGAAGCCACCTGACATGTGTCTTGCACTCACTGAATGGCAGCCTCTGTCCTCGTTCCAGTCTAGCAGCCACTTACCAAGAATGAGCCCTTCCTACACCCACAGAATTCAGCCCCGTCTAACCTATAAGCAAGTCACCTTCAAGAGGGCATTAGGCTTGGAACACTTTTCTTCCAGAAAAACACTGTAATTAGTGGTTGGTTCCACAGCTGGCCACCAAGGCCAGCTTTAGCTCATTCAGGATAACCAGGGCTTTCAGGTGAGCCTGGCCTCCCTTGGGGCCAAGTTGCTATGGGATCCCCCACAGTGGGCAGACCTCTTGCTCTGTGGGGTGCCCCAAGCAATTACAGTCATAGGACTGGCTCTTTGCCAGATGTCTGTAACCTTGGGTATGTTTGTAAAGTGCTGCAGGTCCCTTGGAGGGACATCCCACTCATGGTTCTAGTGCATTCCAGAACGGTCACTGCATTGCTGCTTGAGATCTTCCCTCGATTAAGTAGTGGCCTCCCTTCCTCCCTTCCTTCTAAAACCCTTGTGTTGAGTCTGGTCCTGCAGCAGAGGGCTCATGATGCATGGGGCTTGTGCTTGTGGGTTCTGCAGCTAGTGCATGGGGCTATTGATGGCAAAATCAAGTCACTGAGCAGGGTCATTCCAGTGGAATTAAGCTCTGTTCTATGAGAAGCACAGTGGGGGGGATGGGGGTTGGAGAGTGATCAAGCTCTACCCAGGTGATCAGGAAGACTGCTCTAAAGAGATGCCCTTTGAGGGACCAGCAGTTGGCATAATCGCCATGTTGCTGGGCTCCCATGTAGTCGACCGCGGTTTGATTCCCGAACCTGACGGCTTAAAACACTCCAGGCGCGTGTGCGTGCCTGCCCAAGATCCCGAGAAGAAAATGGAGGAGAAGGGATTATGGCATGGCCATCCCTCCAGGGGGTGATTTCTCACTTTCTGTCTCTATGTCTCTCCAAGTATTTCTGGCCAGCACACGCCCCCTATAGCAAAACTTCTCAAAAAAAAAAAAAAGAGAGATGCCCGTTGAGTTTGAGCCAGTGAAGTCGAAGGCCTAGAAGGCAGGGAACAGCCGATGCAAAGCCGTGAGGAGGGAGTACTCCTGCCTTGAGGTTCAGGAAGAAGCACAGTGAATGAGGCCAGTCATGGAGGGCTGCAGGCCAGGGTAAGGTAATTAGATTTTATCCCAAGAACATCGGGTCTACATTTATTTCTCTTTTCTCCTATCAGAACAGTAAACATCCTGGTATTATCCCAGCTATGAGAGAGGAAGGTCAAACCAGGGGTGGTAAAAGTTGTTTTAAACAGCATTCAGAGGGAGACTGGGGAAACAGACGTGGTTGCTGGTAGCCAAGACGAAGTCGGCTGTGTTTTCTCAGAAAGGGCCGAGAGCGAAGGTGACATTCCTGGTGACTGTTGCAGCCACTGTCTGCAGCCTATGTGACCTCGAGAGGCTAGGAATCCGTAGGTCTAGGTTCCCCTTTCTTTGGGTGCTTCCAGGAGAGTCAAAACCAAACCAAGAACTCCTGGGGCGGCTGGGGCCATTGTCTGTGTTAGGTTTGGTGTGTGTTCTCCGAGCTTGAGCTGTGGGTTATGTCAGTGTTGCACTTTCTTCTTTACGCCTCCAGCCCCTGTGGGAGCATTTACCATTATGGTGGCACGTGGGCTGTGCTTATGGGCAGAGGGGCCACAAGGGGATCAATGTCCCACTGAACTAGCTCCTAGCTGCATGGCCTAAATCGCTTTCAACTTGGGTTTCTTTTCATTTTTCTTCAAGTTTCTGTTTATTTTATTCATCAGAGAGTGCACACGGGCAATCATGTGAGAGAGGGGAAGAGAGTAGGAGGCATCTTCGCTTTCAGGTGAGGCGGGGACCTGGCCTTCTTTGGGGCCAAGTTGCCATAAGATCCCCCAAAGTGGACATGCATCTTCTTGCTTTGTGGGGTGCCCCAAGAATTTAGTCATAGGACTGGCTCTTTGCTAGATGTCTGTAGCCCTGGCTATGTTAGTAAAGTGCTGTGCGTCCCTTGAAGGGACATTCGCTCATGGTTGTAGCGCATTCCAGATGTCACTGCAACTGCGTTGTCCCATCACAATCCCCTGCATACAGCCCTCCACCTCACTGGGATCTTACGGACACTAAACATGCTTCAGGCCCACTGGGCCAGGGATTGGAACCGCAGTTGGCCATGTGGGCTCCAGCACTCAGTCCAGAGTGCTGCTGACTAAGCCACCAGGCTGGGCCAACTCAGGTTTCTTGATTTGCAGAATGGACCTTGCAGGATGCCTGTAAGGCTTAGAGGAGACACAGATGACATGCTTGGCCTGGCGCTGGGCGCATGCTTGTGCAGTACATGACAGTCATCACAAGCAGCATTTAAAGAGCTTGAGAGTTTGCTCACGCCCTTCATGCTCTTTGTGCATCAGGGCTTCATAATAATGTGAATTATCGTGAAAGGCAGGCTGCATAGCTGTAGTCTGTTTTACAGGCTGAGGCTCAGAGAGGCCAAGCAGCTAGCCCCAGAGCTGGGGTGCAGCTTGTGATTCTAAACCCCTCCTGTGGGTTGTGTTTGTCCAGTGGTTATCGTCCGGCACTATGCCTCCTGGACAAGTTTTCTTTTATGTCACCACAGCTGAGAAG